CGAGCGAGTTCGGGGTCGATTGGACGGCGGGCGCGAGGCAAGTCAAAAAGAAAGCCACACGGTCACACACACAACTCACACGGCCAGGCTGGGTGAGCTACACGGCCGTGTGAAGTTGCACTCTGGCCGTGTGGAAATGTGCGAGGCTTCACACGGCCAGGCTAGTTGAGCTACACGGCCGTGTGAAGTTGCACCCTGGCCGTGTGGTTGCACTTTTTTCATTGTTAGGTGTTGTGTTTTAGCTTGTCAGAAACATGCAGTCTAAACATAACCATCCGATCCAAACATACATAAGTAGTCAAACATCTGATCTAAACACAAATATGGAAACATGCAGTCTTAACATAAACATCCGATCCAAACATACATAAGTAGTCAAACATCCGATCTAAACACAAATATGGAAACATGCAGTCTGAACATAAACATCCGATCCAAACATACATAAGTAGTCAAACATCCGATCTAAACACAAATATGCAACGGGCTGGATCATAGAACTCGCCTATGTCAGCGAACCGGATGACTCCAGTGTACAAAGAGCGACGCACTGCCTGATGAGACCTTTGATGGAAAGGTGTCCAAAACACATCAGAAGGGGTCAAGCTGTCAAGAGCTCGACGGTAGAACGCCAACCTCCCACTGGAATCAGCCACAGAACCAGGTGTCGGCTGCCCAACCCATCGTGAAGCCCAAGCATCATCAGTTCCAACAGCGGCAGGCTCGAAGTGAGATGGCCTGAAACCCAGAAAGTACTCGTAGATCCAGCACTGCAGAAGTGTGAGACAACCAGCCATCCCCCTGGCACCAGCACGAGACGCCTGACCAAGGTATCTGTACAACCAAGCAAGTGTACCTGACGCCCAACTATACTGATCTAACTCCTCCAACTCGTCCAAAAATAGGTTCACCACCGACCGAACCCTGTCTCTACTCTTGTCCACAAACAAAGTGGACCCCAACAGCAACAACAAGTACGACTGCGTCTCTGTCACATGTGTCCCGTGGCTCTGCAAGTATCTGGACGCCATCTCTGCAAGAAAACCACCCTTCTCGTACCACTTACCCCTATTATTATATCCAGGGACCTCCGAACGACCACTCAACTGCTCCGAGTTCATCCCAAGAAGCGCACACAAACCCGCCTCCGGTTGGTCAAGCTGCGCAGAACTCCTACTCATCAGTCGTCCCTCAACAGGAATCTGCAGTAAGTACTGAACATCGTGGAGGAGGATCGTCATCTCTCCAAAAGGCAAGTGGAAGGTGTTCGTGTCTGGCTGCCACCTCTCCACAAAAGCTGAGATCAAAGCCTCGTCAATCGCTATCTTGCGGAACATAGAGTAGATCAGGTGCTGGAGACCTGACTGCACCACCAGATCCTCCGCCTCAACATGACTAAACACGTAGCTACTCAGATAAGAAACAGCCGATGCACGGCTGTAGCAACTGATGACCCCTCGATCTCCAGCCCCCGTCCAAAGCGCATAGGCAACGTGGCCACGAAAGCTCCTAATGAGGCTAGGATCCGTAGGTCCACCAGGACACTCACCAACAAGCTCCCACGGTGGAGGACCACTCGAACGTCCTCCCCTACTCCGTCCAGTCCCCGAGCTCTCTGTCTCCTGACGAGCAGGTGGTACGAATCGCCCAGCTCGGTCCCTATACATAGCAGGACGTGATGTTGCCATACAAGACGGCCCTCGTCCATGTCCACGCGTAGGTGGAGGGACCTCGATATCCTCATCATTATCGTCCTCATCAAAATCAGCCGAGACCACTCTCGATGCAGCACCCTGGTTCCTCCCATGGGAACCAGACGCCCGTGATGCCGAACGAGCAACTACAGTAGGAGCCTCTAACTCATCCTCCCCTAAATTTGCCTATGACTGATGTCCAATATCTCGAGAGCGCTTATTCTTCTCCTTATTCTTCCTTCGTGCTGATACATCAACAACCCTACCATTGAATCTATTCAACTCATTCCCACCCGCATCACCCGCATCATCCATATCTAATTATCTACAAATTTAAACAATATCACACTTAGATGCGCACTAATTAATTAATTTTTATTAACTAATGTACTATTAACATTAATTGTTAATTAATCACAAATTAATTAAATTTCTATTAACTAATGTACTATTAACATTAATTGTTAATTAATCAGAAATTAATTAATTTTCTATTAACTAATGTACTAAATATTAACATTAATTATTAAATCAATTCTTAATTAATTAAAATTCCATTAACTAATCTAAGTAATTAAACTTTCAAACGCCTATTACAAAAAAACATTTATACACCAACTTAAATAAATATTAACACTAATTGCTAATTAATTATCATATTAAATTAAATACAAAAACTGGCCGGGCCGGAAAAAAATTGCGGCCGGAGCGACGTCGGGCAGAAAAAATTTTGCGGCCGAAGCGACGTCGGGCCGAAAAAATTTGCGGCCGGTGCGCCGTCCGGCCGAAAAATTCTTTCGGCCCGGCGACGTTCCGGCCGCAAATTTTTTTCGGCCAGCCGACGAACACGTCGCCTGAAAATTTTTGGCCGGCGTGTTCGGCTACCGGCCGAAAAAATTTGCCGGAAAATTCTTTCGGCCCGGCGACGCCTCGGCCGGTCGCCGAACACGCCGGCCAAAAATTTTCCGGCGGCGTGTTCGTCGGCCGGCCGAAAAAAATTTGCGGCCGAGGCGTCGCAGAGCCGAAAGAATTTTTCGGCCGGCCGTCGTACCGGCCGCAAATTTTTTTCGGCCCGACGTCGCTCCGGCCGCAATTTTTTTTCGGCCCATCATGTTTTTCGCTGGAAAACTTACTTGTTTTCCGACGATTGAGGGCGACGGGAGGTTAGCCGACGACGGAAGAACAGTGCCGGCAACGGAGGCACTGGGCTCGTCAACAGAAGTTTTTGTTGGAATGAGTCAAATGTTCTTGATATCCGAATTTATAGAATGAAAGGAAGGGAAGGGAGGGTTTTTTTTTTGTTGGCGGCAAATAGCAATTTGGTTGGCGGCAAATAGCCGTTCACTTGAAATAAGGTGGTTGATATCTTGAGAAGGTTGTCAAGTTGGATGCATTTGAAGAGTTAGGGATGGAAGCCTAGAGTGAGTGAGCTTACTGCTGAAATTTCTGAAATTGAAGCTGTTGTTGGTGTTTCTAAATAAAATAGCTGTTGTTGTTGCAGATTAAAGTGAAGTTCGAAATAGTTCAGTTTAGGGGATGCATTGTTGAATAAGTAATCACGTGAGTTCTGGTGAGAGTTGGGTCATTTTGGGGTTTTGAGTTGTGCTAGTTTTGTATATATACTATTTTACAGCTTTCGAAATAAAACTGTCAGTTTGCGTCGTCATTGAGTTTTATCACTTCAAACCGGTCTGGGATAGAGTCAGTAACCAATGATTACTGACCTATCAGTAAATGCATGCACACCGTAGATCTAGGGGCAGATCAATCATGCGGCTGGGCTGAATGCAGGGTCCAGAAGGGCATTTTTGTCCGTTGATGAATTTTATTTTTATTATATTCCAAGTTTAATGGCCGCTTTTTCAAAAAAAGGAGACCACTTTTAATGGCTGCCTTTTCAAAGGAGGAGAGAGAATCATTTCTCTTCAACTCTCTTTTCTCTTTCTCCCTTTTTTTTTCTCTCTCAATCTATCATTTCTCTTTCTCTGTTCCTTTTTTTCTCTCCAATCTCTTTCTCCATATCTAGATCTGCTTCCTTCTCTTCTTTTTTCGTTTTTTTCTCTCCAGCAATCAACGAAGAAAAATTGCAGCCACACTCTTTCATTGCGTTTTTTGTCTCTTCATCAACTCGTTGGCCTCAATTTCGGTCTTTCTCCCTTTTTTGGTGTTTGGTGTTCTTGATTGCGGAGGAAATGAGACGAAATAGAAGACGAGTTTTTTTTCCCTCTCCCTCTTTCTGTTTTTTTGTCTTTTAGGTAATATATATTGATATTAACATGCTATATTATACGGTATTGTGTGGTAACGAAATATATATTGATATTACCACACTATACCATATGGTATTGTGTGGTAACGAAATATATATTGATATTACCGCATTATACCATATAGTATTGTGTGATATTACCACACTATACCATATGGTATTGTGTGGTAACGAAATATATATTGGTATTACCACACTATACCATATGGTATTGGGTGGTAACAAAATATATATTGATATTACCACACTATACAATATGGTAATGTATGATATTGTGTGATAACGAAATATATATTGATATTACCACACTATACCATATGGTATTGTATGATATTGTGTGATATTACCACAATATAATATATGGTATTGTGTGATAACGAAATATATATTGATATTACCGCACTATACCATATGGTATTGGGTGGTATTACCAAATATATATTGATATTACCACACTATACCATATGGTATTGGGTGGTAACGAAACATATATTGATGTCGCAAATTTTTCATACCATATGGTATGGTCTTATTTAATACCAGTCAATACCATATGATATTGACTTGTAATAACTGACAAATTTTTTATGTCCAAAAAATATCAAAGTGGATATCATTTTGAAGAGCACAATTAATCTGATCTAACTGTGTAAAAAAAATTAAATTCTGACTTAAAACGAGTGAGAAATCGTCCGTTAAAGATTAAGGGAAAAAAATTAAAGGTTTTTCGAGGAGAGAGAAGGAGGCGCTGATATGGTCTGATCAAAAGTCAGCATTAGCAATAAATAGGGGTAAGTACAAATTTACCTTCCTGCCCTTTTGCATTTAATTTAAATAAAAAAAGGAAACTGACACGTGGAGACCGGATGGGTTACTGACCCATCTGACCTGATCTGCTCCCCTTCAAACCCATATATATATATATATACGATTTTGTTTTGGGTATTAGCCATAACAAATTCCAATGATTTTTCATAATAGAATTGTAATAGAAGCAAATAAAAAATATATAAGAAGGACGCTTGATCGATAACTATTAAAAAAAAGATAGGAAATTAATGGGCTAAGTTTGAAAATTTTATGTCAAGAAGGAATTATTTAAAAGAATTCACAATACATGTGAGTTGCGACCCACATTCTAGAAAAGAATAAGAATGATGACCAATCCTTCCCACCAAAACAATACTTTAACATACCAAATTAGCGTATAAGCTTTTCAAAAGTAAAGGAAAATAATTGTAGCTGCCTGCCTGTCATGCATTTTATTAATTTTTCATTAACACCTAACATGTACTTATCATGAGAAGTTAACGCACCGACCGACATTACCAAACATGCAAACCTTTCTCCGATCCCTCGTCGACAACTCCGACCCTTCCCACCCAATCGCCGGCGCCATCTACACCCCCGACCACCCTTCCTTCCTCCCCGTCCTCCACGCATACATCCACAACCTCCGCTTCTCCACCCCTTCCACCCCCAAACCCTTCCTCATCCTCACCGCATTGCACCACTCCCACGTCCAAGCCGCCGTCTCCGCCGCCGCCGCCCACCCCACCACCGTCCACATGAGGATCCGCAGCGGCGGCCACGACTACGAGGGCCGCTCCTACTCCTCCTCCTCCTCCTCCTCTGCCACCCCGTTCTTCATCCTCGACATGTGCCACCTCCGCTCCATCCACGTCGACATCCGCACCCAGACCGCTTGGGTCCAGTGCGGAGCTACGTTGGGGGAGCTCTTCTCTGCGATCGCGGAGAAGAGCCCCACCCACGCCTTCCCCGCGGGTGTCTGTCCCACGGTGGGCGTCGGGGGACACCTCGTCGGTGGTGGGTACGGCAACCTGATGAGGAAGCACGGTCTGTCCGTGGACAACGTGGTCGACGCGCGCCTCGTGGACGCGCGTGGGGAGATTCTGGACAGGGAGTCCATGGGGGAGGATCTCTTCTGGGCGATTCGAGGCGGTGGGCCCAGCTTCGGCGTCGTGCTGGCTTACAGGGTGAAGCTGGCCCGCGTGCCGGACACCGTCACCGTGTTCCGCGTGGAGAGGACGCTGGAGGAGAACATGACGGAGGTCGTGCACACGTGGCAGCATTTCGCCCCCGCAGCCCACGTGGACCTCTTCGTCAGAGTTTTGGTCGAGGTGGTCAAGAAGGAGGAGGAGGAAAACGAGAAGACGGTTCGGGCCGCATTTATCGGGATGTTCCTCGGCCGGTCCGACCGGCTGCTGGCCATGACGCGGGAGCGCTTCCCCGAGCTGGGCCTGACCGAGTCGGACTGCACCGAGTCGAGTTGGATCGAAACGACGCCGCACTGGGCGGACTTTCCGCGCGGGACGAAGGCCGCGGACGTGGTTCTGAGTCGGCGTCCTCGAAGTCTGGTCCACTTGAAGAGGAAATCGGACTACGTCCAGCGGCCGATTGATAAGCCCGGGCTGGAAGCGATATGGAGGAAGATGGTGGAGGTGGAGGTGGTGAAGATGGCGTTCAACCCGTACGGCGGGAGGATGAGCGAGATAGCGGCGGAAGCAACGCCGTTTCCTCACCGCGCGGGGAACCTGTGGAAGATCCAGTACCAGGTGAACTGGGACGAAGGAGGGGCGGAGGCGGAGAGGCGACACGTGGCGCTGTGTCGGGAGATGTACGACTACATGACGCCGTACGTGTCGCGGAATCCGAGGGGGTCGTTCCTGAACTACAAGGATCTTGATCTCGGGGTCAACGGCGGCGGCGGGGGGGGAGCGGCGGCGGAAGGGTACGGGAGGAGCTACTTTAAGGGGAACTTTGATAGGTTGGTGAAGATTAAGGCTAAAGTGGATCCTCATAATTTGTTTAGACATGAGCAAAGTGTGCCCACGTACTGCTGTAACCCTAAATTATGATGACAGCAGCTCATGTACGTGACATCATTATTGCACCCACAATTTTCTTCCACCGTCGTCATTATGAGCATGTATCATTAACCAAAAAAAAAAAAATTGTATTCCGGCGGTCCTGCCATAATACATGTGATGTTTCTATATATATATATATTCCATAGATATACTCGAAAAAGGAATGAAAGAAGAGGAAAGAATATGCTCGACCAACGGGAAGAGGAAACGAATATACTCGACTGAAGGAGAGGAAACGAAGTAGTACCTACCTATCCTACTAGGGACAAGAGATAGACATCCCTCCTCGGCCTATAATCTTGTTGTTGGAACTATGGCAGTTTTAGCCGAAGATAGATCGTAAATAGATAGGGTATTACAATTTTATAAATGCTTGAAAAGTAAAAGCGGTAGCCAACCTAGTGTTGAACTACCGATGCAAGGACCTTTATGCCACTAAATGGGCAACCCTGTTAGTATGTCTAGAACCATAAATAAATGAATAAACGCAAAGGAAATCTTCCTTTAGCAAACTGCTTGAAGCACCCATCCGCAGAGTACAAACTTCTTATCTCCTATAGGTCAAGTTCCAATAGGCCAACAATAGAGTTGAAGTGCAAGTTACCTGCAAGAAGAACACACAAACGACCCCTAAAAGGAACAAAGCAAAATTCAGGTACCAATGGACCTCTACCGAAGATGCTCCACAAGCTATATGAACTGATCCCCGCCTACAAAACAAAACAAAAAACAAACATGCCAAACCCAATGCAATGTGGCACTAGTGGATGAAATACTTTCCATGTCCGATGACAAACAATTTCACTCTATCAATAAGAGCGTCGAGTAAAAAAAATAACGCAGCACCCCCAACAAAAATACCAAACACAAAACTCGTCAAAAGCGCAGTCTGGCAAAAGCATCCCATCCGAGATCGTATCGCAATCGAGGAGAGGCCTTGCACAGGAGAACTTGAGATGGTCGCTGGGCGAGGGAAGGCCGAGGTCGATGGAGAGCAGAGAAGCCGCGACGGATGGCGGAGGAGAGAGGCGGTTACTTACCTAAAGTGAAGCATACTTGATGCGAAAAGTCGCAACAACAAATCCATCTCAGCCACTGTGATGTCGTTGCAGAAGGATGGAGCGAAACCCTGCAGAGTAGCCTAGTCGGAGATGCTACCGAACAGTCGCACTATGGCGAAAGCGGCGAGACTGGGGGAAACCACCGAATAAACCGTCTCTCAATGCCAGACGATTCTTCCGAGGACTGCTTCTACATGTGATGTTTTATTTTCGCACTTATTCTATATATTTTCTTGTGTATGTTTATTAATCATTACCACAATTATATAAGTTTGTATTCAAAGACATAAATGATTTTTTTTTAGTTATGTAATCTTGTCAAATAATTGATCTTCCTATTTTATCAATTAATCACCCAATGCAATCAACTATTTTCAATTATATGAGTTTGGCAAGTTATTTTTTTATAGCATTTCTTATTACATTACGGACATAATTTATTTAGCTCCAACTTTTGCTGGTCGTAAAAGCTCCAATCATCTACATGTGAATTTATTTTCTTGATATTTAATATTCTTAATTATGCTAAATAAATCTAGAATTAAAATATAAAAGGCAAAAGATGAACTCACAAATAAATAGTGGAACTGCTGCTTTTCTGTGTCAAACAAAAGTTGTAGCGAACAACTTTCTATGACTTACATGATTGCCATGGAATCAACGAGATTTTACTAGGATCATATTCTCTGTCATTTTAGTTAGAGAAAGCAGTTTGTGCCAATCATAACGCTACTTGTTGCAACAAAGCTGGGAAACTGTCAGAGAGGCCTAGAAATCAAAGATCTACCATCCACGTGCCGTACTTTTTTATATATATGGTGGCTACTTCGGTGCACTCACTTTTTTTGGAGCATTCAGTACACCCACCTCTAAAAGTGGTCATAATACATCAAATTTTGAAATTTAATAGGTAGCATTAGTATCATATGATGATATAACACGGAATCACAACTAATCAACCAATTACCCTAACCTATTAACATTCAATTTTGAATCTAAACCCAAAATCCCAAATTGTAAACCCTAACCCTAAATTCCTAAACCCTGAATCATTCAAATTAAAGTGAATCTTGAATGATTTTTGTACAAATTCATGTGGTTCTTGTTCATCATACTACAAGGGATGATTGACATCGTTTTTACATGAATCGTCTACTCAGAATGACGATTATGAGGCAAGTGCATTGAATGCACCAAAAAAAGTGAGTGCACCGAAGACATAACCATATATATATATATATATGGTGGCTTCTATCGTACCTTGGGTAAAATCTAGGGTACGACATATCCTAAGTAAGAAAATGCTATCTAGACCTAGAATTAACCGGATTTTTGGGCATGATATTATACCCTAACCCTTGATGAGTGAACCCTAGGTCTTAGTTTTCTAAGTTAAAGAGCCTAATCCCTAAGATTGTGCCTGTAATTTGTTGCATATATTTAAACAAATCATAGCCGTTGATTTTTGGTTCTAATCAAATTGATCTTAGTGTATGAGATTTATAGAACTAATACCTAGATTTTAATCCTTAAGGGTTTGGGAATAATATCATATGCCAAACTATGCTCAATTCGAGGTCTAGATATCATTTTCTTACTCAAGGTATGTCGTAACCTTGATTTTACCCAAGGTAGGATAGAACCACCCATATATATATACAAGAAGCTGTTTATATTGCACTTCAAAAGTGAGTACAAAGTTTAGGGTAAAACCCATGAAAAGATACAATAGACATCAAAAGAAAAAAAGCCCACAAACAAAGCCCTAACAAATGTTTCAAAAAGAAACAAAAAATGAAGCCCAAAACCCAGAGCCCGCAAAGTGAGCCCAATTAACCCTACAGACAACTACCAACACCAACCCTAGTTATCATCTCTTCTCCAACCTGCCGCCGTAGGGGTGGGCATTCGGTCGGTTCGGTTTCGACCGAACCGAAATTATGAATACCGGGTCCCCGAATTCTCCCAAACCTCAAACCGAATTCGAACCAAATTATAATTCGGTTCGGTCGGTTTAAACCGAACAATAATTCGGTTCAGTTTGGTTTTTCACACAAAACCGAATTTGTGAAGCTACTTGTATTTTCTCACTTTTAAATTATTTTTCACCCCTAATATAAACAATAAATATCAATTATATGCATCATCAATGATAAAACCAAACTTTTCAACACATAAGTCATAAAACATTTCAAATATTTCTAAAAACAACTACAAAAATAAAAATCCACCATTTAGAGCTTGCAATTATAGTATTTCGGTTTTTCGGTCGGAAATTCGGTTCGGTTGAAAGAATCCTGATTTCCGAACTATCCATATTTTCCTTCCGAATTCCGAACGGAATAGCATTAATTCAGTTTCGGTTTAATTCGATTTCGGTTCGGTTCGGGTTTACCGAACCGTTTGCCCACCCCTACGCCGCCGCCAACCATACAAACAGAGCCGCCGAAAACCAATCGTCGACCACCAGCTCACCATGCAACGACCGGACCAATGCCACAACGGGAGAGCAGCAGTCCGCGAGGAGCCCGGAGACCACGAAAAACGGCAACGAACAGGCTTGGAGAAAAGAGACGAGCTTCAGATTGATGCATCCCTGCCTTCAACATCTTAGAACCGCATCCAGGCCGCTGCATATGAGAAGGCTGATAAGGATATCTGTTAAAATAATTTTATTGTATGTGTTTGTTATTAGTGGCCTTGATCATGTAATTAGTGGCTCCGTGTCCATAGCTACGTAGGTGTGTTTTCTGTTGTAGAGAGAGTATTTAACTCAACTCTCCTACCTAATACAAATCATCTTTCCAGCCCAATCTAGCCTTCACATGGTATCAGAGCAACAACTCCGATCTCCTTAACTTCTTTCCCTACAATCACGATTCAAAACACTTCTCCTCTATCGCTATTGATTTCTTTTCTCTTTCTCTCCACCACGCATATACTGTTGTAAACCCTCTTCTTGTCGGCCTTTTTGTTTCCCTTTGCAATCATGTCAGGTGAAACTGTGATTAACCTAGACGATGCCAATATCGTCATCACACTGAATCCGGCATCTCAGCTGCCTACCAAATTCACCGGCGACAACTTCCCTACATGGAGGGCCCAACTTCTCACGCTTCTCCGAGGTCTTGACCTGCTGAAGTTCCTGGACGGAACTCATCCCGCCCCGGTTGCCGATGCCTCTGCCGCCGCGCGTCGTCGCTGGTTTCAACAAGATCAGTTACTGCTTCACTCCATCCTTGCTTCGATGTCCCCAGGCGTTGCCCCATATGATTCTGCCGCTACCTCGTCCCGTCAGGCGTGGACAATTCTCGAGCGCATGTTCGCTAATCAATCACGTCAGCGTGTTATAAATCTCAAGGAGAAGCTCGGTCGGGAGACTCAGGGCAATCGGTCGGTCTCTGTCTACCTTCAGGCCCAGCGCACCACTGCCGCAGAGCTTGCCCTCATCAATGCGCCGGTTACCGATGAAGATCTCATCCTTCATATTCTTCGGGGACTTCGTGAAGAATATGACCAGCTCTCCGCGGCAATCCGGGCACGAGATACACCGATTGCCATTGAAGACCTCCATGACCGTCTCGTAGATTTTGAGGCTGATATAGCTGTTGTACGTCTGTCTCGGTCCCATGCTCCCACTACAGGCGTTTATGTCTACCCGTGGTCGTGGTTATGCTCGTTCCTCTGGTGGTTCCCGCCGCAGCTCTCCCACCTCCAGTTACTATGGTGGTGATTCTCATTACAGTCGCGAGGTGAGTCCACGCCAGCCTCGTGCCCCTTCCTCTCCTCGCACTCCTCCTGGTTACGCGATTAGTTCGTCCGTTCCGTCTCTTCTTGGCAGGCCACGGCTATAGTGCCAGTTCTATGACAAAACTGGCCATTCGGCCAAAGACTGCTATCGTCTCAAAGGGTGTCCTCAGGCCTATCATATGGTTGCATCCTCCTCCTCCCCTTCTAACTGGCTGGTCGACTCAGCTGCAACAAATCATATGACTCCGGATCTTGGTAATCTGTCCTTGTATACCGATTACAATGGCCTGGATGAGGTCATCATCCGTGATGGGTCAGGTCTGATTATTACCCACGTTGGAGACTCCCATTTATCTTTTCCTATGACCCGTTTGGATCTACATAATGTTCTTTGTGTGTCGGGAATCAAAAGTCGTCTCCTTTCTGTTGCTCAACTCTGCAAGACTAACCCTGTGTTTGTGGAATTCTTTTCTGATTTCTTTGTTGTGAAGGATCTAGCCACGGGGGCGCATCTACTACGAGGCCAGAATAAAGGAGACGTATATGAGCTGTCGGTGGAGTCTCAACCAGTTCGGCTTGCTTTGACAGCGACACGAGCATCCTCTATCGTCTGGCATAATCGTCTTGGCCATCCCCACCTCAAGCTGCTCTCCCGCGTGTTGCGTAACCAGTCTCTTACTGTTGCATCTCTAGTCTCTAGTTCTTCATGTGAATCGTGCTCTTTGCATAAAAGTCATAAACTTCCATTTTCGGTTTCTAGTTTATCCAGTATCAGACCATTTGATTTGTTATACATGGATGTGTGGGGGCCTTCTCCCGTTCTTTCTCATGATCAGTTTTCGTACTATTTAGTCTTTGATGATCATTTCACATGCTATACATGGCTATATCCTCTCTCCCGCAAATCCGATGTTCATCATGTTTTCACTACTTATAAAGCGATGGTTGAAAATTTTTTCCACACCTCCATTCGTCGGGTTTATAGCGATGGTGGTGGTGAGTTTCAAAAACTCTGTTTGTTTCTCCAAACTCATGGCATCACCCATCTTCTCACTCCTCCCCATACACCCCAACATAATGGCCTTGCCGAACGAAAGCACAGGCATATAGTTGAAACAGGTCTTGCTCTACTCCACACCGCTCATCTTCCTCTTCGCTTCTGGTCTCATGCCTTCCAAACTGCCACGTACCTCATTAACCGGCTACCCTCCTCCGCTCTCCATGGCTCCACCCCTTACTACTCTTTGTTCAACGAGCAGCCTAACTATCTCAAGCTTCGTGTGTTTGGTTGTGTCTGCTACCCTTGGCTCCGTCCTTACTCCACTATAAATGATCTCCCCGTTCTTGGCGATGTATATTTCTTGGCTATTCCGTTTCCCAGAGTGCCTATTTGTGCTATGATCCCTCCTCTGGTCGTGTGTTTGTTTCGCGACACGTTCAGTTTGATGAGTCTCTTCTTCCGGGTCTCTCCTCTCCCTCGACACCTCATTATGATTCCCCCGATTGGATAGCCCTCACTACCCCACCTGTCACTGTCCTTCACTTCCCTGTTGCCGTGCCCAGTCCGCCACCGGCTGTGCCTCCTACGCCTGCTCCATCCGCTGCTCATAGACCTCCTGCTACCTCTCGCTTGGATGTGTCCCCAGCTGCATCGTCTTCACACACAGACCTTGCTCCTCCACCGCCAGTAAAGGTACCGCGTCGTCCCACCACTCGCAGCCAGCATGGCATTTTTTGTCCAAAGAAGCTTTTTATTTCGCAGGTTGCACAGGCTGTCGTGCCCACCTCAGTAAAACAGGCACTCGCTGATCCCCGCTGGAATGCAGCTATGCGGGCTGAATTTCAAGCCCTTCTAGCTAATCATACGTGGACTCTCGTTCCACGCCCATTATCTCAACACGTAGTGGGATGTCGCTGGATTTTTCGCATCAAATGGAACTCTGATGGGACTATTGCTCGGTTCAAGGCACGTCTTGTTGCCAAGGGCTTTACTCAACGCCTCGGCATTGATTTCAATGACACCTATAGCCCGATTTTGAAGCCGGTCACCGTCCAGGCCGTCTTTACCATTGCTCTCTCTCACCAATGGCCTATTCTTCAATTCGACGTTAATAATGCTTTCTTACAGGGTTCTCTTGATGAGACGGTCTATATGGCGCAACCGCCCGGCTTTCGTGATCAAACTTTCCCGATCATGTCTGCTGTCTATCTCGAGCCATTTATGGTTTACGGCAGGCTCCTCGTTCTTGGTACATGGAGTTGTCTGCATTTCTTATAAATGAAGGCTTTGTCAAATCAAAGTATGATGCTTCTTTGTTTGTTTATCACAAGGGGACGGTTACTCTCGATTTCCTGGTCTATATTGATGATCTATTGCTCACCGGAAATCATGGTCCCACCTTGGCTCGTTTTCAGGCTCTTCTAGCCGCTCGGTTTAGTCTTAAGAGCCTTGGCAACGTCGGCTACTTTCTGGGTATCGAGGTCGTTCCCAGTGCTAATGGTTTTTTGCTCGCACAACATAAATATATTTGGGACGTACTGCAAAGGTTTGGCATGGCTGATTCGCATCCGGCCCCGACTCCACTGTCCTCTACTGACAGGATGCTTCTCGATGATGGCTCCCCCAGCCGATGTGACCTTATACAAGCAGGTTATTGGTTCGCTGCAATATTTGTTATGCACTCGCCCTGACATTGCCTCTGCAGTTAATAAACATTTCAGTTCATGCATGCCCCGACTCAGCTTCACTGGCAGCACGTCAAACGCCTCCTCCGCTATCTCAAAGGCTCGGCCACTCTCATTCTCCGTCTCAACTCTGCTCCAACGCCATCCCTGGTTACCTTTGCCGATTCTGACTGGGCTGGCGATCCCAATGATCGCACGTCCACCATGGCCTACCTCATCTATTATGGGGGCAATCTTATCTCGTGGAAATCCAAGAAGCAGCGTTCTGTGGCTCGGTCCAGTACGGAAGACGAATATCGGGCTCTAGCTCATGTCGCGTCTGAGATCATTTGGATTCAGCAGCTCCTCACGGAACTTCATCATCCTCTACTGTGACAACCTTGGTGCGGTAAATTTTTCCGCCAATCCCATCCATCATTCGCGCATGAAACACCTCGCCCTCGATTATCTCTTCGTTCGCGAGCTAGTTAAGTCAGCTGCCCTTCGTGTTCAACATATACCTACAGCGCTTCAACTTGTCGACTCATTGACCAAGCCACTTTCTATCACTCGTTTTCCACTATTGCGGTCCATGATTGGTGTCGTCCTAGCCACCATCTTGCGGGGGTGTTATAAGGATATCTGTTAAAATAATTTTATTGTATGTGTTTGTTATTAGTGGCCTTGATCATGTAATTAGTGGCTCCGTGTCCATAGCCACGTAGGTTTGTTTTTTGTTGTAGAGAGAGCATTTAACTCAACTCTCCTGTCTTATACAAATCATCTTTCCAGCCCAATCTAGCCTTCACAAAGGCCTTTTGCATCTCCGAAACACCGACTCAATGGGGTAACAAATGTTTCACATGACAATACCTCTCCGTACAAGACCACGAACTTCCGGTGGATGTGGACCGCTGGGAAAGACCGACGATTGATGCCTGACAAGGTCCACGATTGTTGTATAGTTACCAAAGCTTTCGTAAACGACGCCACTCCTTCTGTCCCCATCAACTAATGTCACTTATATAAGCTCTGTGGGCATCTCGTTGTACAGTTTTCATATAGCTTTTCACACCCTATTGGAAAGGTGAGTACGTAGCTGCCTTCACTTCTTTCTACCCATGCCGCGATAGATGGGATGAAATCCTAAAATACACCTATTTAAAAAAAAAATTCTCAAAATACACACGTTAAAAAACAATTCACAAAATACACATGTTTCACCGCGGTCGTCAACCGTAGTGAATGCATTCACTGCGGCAGACGAAAGCCGTGACTGCATCACCGTGGTTGACGGTCGCGGTGAATGCCTGACGTAACACCGAAATTTCAAATGAACATAACTTTGCTCTAAGTTATTCGAATTTAGCAAAAAAAAATTGAATCCGCATACTTATTCAAGATCTTTCAATCTACAACAAGCTTTCATATAAAAAAATTATCGTTTGTTACCCCGAACGAGCAATTTTTCGATTTTGCCAAACTTTGGAAGGCCATTACTTTTAGCTCCTCAATCCAAACGTCATAAATTTTTTTTTATTACGCATAAATTTTTAAGAAATACAACTTTTACTAGGAAATTTTTTTAAAAGAAATACTTTTGGGTATACGGGATTTTGGGAATAACTTTGCATTTACTTTTCACAAATCCACATACATTCCAAAATTATGGTTATATTCAAAGTTGTAGTCCATCAAAAGTTATGCGAAATAAAAAAAAAGGTTTCATGACAATCGGATTACGCAGCACAAAGTTTTGGTCTTCCAAAGTTTGCCAAAATCGATAAATTGCTCGTTCAGGGTGGCAAACGAATTTTTTTTTGGGATGAAGGCTTCTTGCAGATTGAAAGATCTTGAAAAATTATGTGGAATAAAAAAAAATTTGCTACAATTGGATAACCGAGAGCAAAGTTACGTTTGTTTGAAGTTTCAGTGTTACGTCAGGTATTCACCGCGGCCGTCAACCGTAGTGATGCATTCACCGCTTTCGTCAGCCGCGGTGAATGCATTCACTGCGGTTGACGACCACAGTGATGCCCAAACATGTGTATTATGAGAATTTTTTTATAACGTGTGTATTTTGGTTATTTTTTTAAAAAATATGTGTGTTTTGAAATTTTTCCCGATAGATGTACCACCCATACTAGATCTGACCAACTATTCATCCTATCTCTTTTACCTTCTTGACAATTCATTTTTGTCTTAAGTAAAGTCTTTTAGTTGTATGCATCAATAGAATATAGTAAACACTTCCCACTAAAAAAGAAAAGAATATCTTGTAAAAAAAAAAAACAATAAACACTTTCTCAAATTGGAAACTTTTAAATATCCTTCAATATAAATTCAAATTAGCTAAATGTGTAATTAACTGTAATTTGACGGGACTATATTTTCATGTTCACAGTAGCTCAAATTCTCTTGATTCTATATTCATCTAGGTTTCATTCACAGCCAAACGAGTCTCCGAGAGACCTTGACTGAATACAAAAGAATGTGGTGGAAAGCAGGAATCGAACAAGATACATTATGAAATTTTGCATAAAATTTTGCGTACTACAACTTTTGCTAGGATGAAATTTTCAAAATAGGAAAACTTTTTGGATATAACGGGTTTTGAGAATAACTTTAGCTTTACTTTTCACATTTTCACATACATTCTGAAAATATTTCTATAAAAAAAGTTGTAGTCCTCGAAAAGTTATGCGGAATAAAAAAAAATTCACAAAAAATTGTAGTCCTCAAAAAGTTATGTGGAATAAAAAAAATTCACTACGATCGGATTAACGAGCACAAAGTTAAGGTTATTGGAAATTTCAACGCAGTGGATCGAGGCCCTCAGACTCGATCCACTACCTCAGAAAGTAAATTGAGGCTCTCTAACTCGATCCCACTAATCGTTCGAGCCCTTTGAACTCGAACCACCCTAAACTCAGGTATTTTTTTTTGGGGGGGGGGGGGGGGGGGGGGGGATTTTACAAGTGTTGTAGTTTAGAAATTTTTTTAATTATTGTTGTATTTGGGGAAAAACACCCATTTTCAACAGCAACAGTGGCACATGTGTTAATCTTTAAACTTCATGGGATGCCTCACACGATTATTTCAGGCAGGGATGCATTGTTCATAGGCTGGTGGGATTACTCAGACATAACCTTGCTATGGCTCAAAATCGACAAAAGCATATGGCTGACAAGCATAGAACTGAGATGGAATTCCAAGTATGGGATTGGGTTTATGTGAAATTGTGACCTTACAAGCAGCAATTAGTGGAGTTGATGGGCTAATAAAAAACTAGCACTCAAGTTCTTTAGGCCTTTCTTGATTGTGCAGAAGATGGGATTGGTGGCCTACAAGCTTCAGCTACCTCAGAGTTCCACCATTCACCCTGACGAGAGTAGACCAGCCTACTTAAGAAAGCCATTGTATTCTGTTACACCCATCGATATAAAGAATAACAAACTTTTCCTCCCCTTTCTCTCTGTATCTCTCTTTCAAGCTCTCTGATTCTCTTCTCCTGCTTCTCGATTTCTCCTTTCTTCTCCATCTCAACTCGCTGAGAGATCCAGAAGGTGACATCATCTCACCGATGCTATTGTTCTATCGCTGAATACAAACAATAACAAACAATAACGGTCTTTTGTTGTTTTTCTATTCTATTTTGTTTCTCTCGTTACAGAGAATCGAACTCAGAGATGCTCAAGCAAAACCCACTTACCAAAGGTACAAAAACCAAAAGGCTACAAAGTTGTCCCCAAACCCATATTTTCAAAGTTGCCAAGCTGCCAACCAAACCAATCAATTGAACAGGCAGCACAAGAATGAATATTGATATTTTATATGGTCTAGGGACAACGGGAAAAATACACAGCATCCAAATCATCCAGAGAAAACACCCACTACTTCCCCTTTCCTTCTCCTTCCTCCGCCATTAGCTGGTGTGTTCCCGACTCTCTACTCTGGACTGCACTGGTTCTCATTTCAAAACTTATCTACTCTTTTTGGCTTCTTTCGATGGAGGAAGTGTTCCAAACACCCTGTCCCACAGGGAAGAAGTGATTCCATACCCCTTGTGTTGGATTCTGAAGTGATGATTCATGTGATATTTCTACAAAACCAGATCAACCCCAACATCAACATAACTTACAGCCACCACATTTCGCGCGCATTCGCATGTAAAGACCCATATGCCGAAAAATGAGCCTCACCTTAAGATGCTTAGGAACTTCATTCGATGGCTGCCCGTGGTGCAAGTAGTAATGGGTGCAGTCGTACATAACATACCCCAGCAAACCACCAGCAAAAAGGGCAGGCGCAGTCGTAGGCGTGGACAGAAGCTTAACAAAGTTCCAGAACTGCCATCAAGAAAATTAGTTGACGATTCATACGCTCTATTCCATCCAATGGTTTATAAATTATCAAAAAAACCAAGATAACAAGTAACAATGCTCATACTGGTACTAATAGAATAGCTGTTGCTGCGGGAGGAAAGACGAGGCGCAAACCGTCCATGGGATGCTTATGATGGCAGCCGTGAAGGAGATAGTGTGCAGTATTTCCCCTGAAGCACGTTGAGCAACACAAAAGATTGATGAACTTGATAACATGAAGGGTTCCAATATTGTTAATGAACTCTTTCAGTTTTATGCATTAACTTAGATTCAGCTGGAGACAGAGAGATACTAACCAGTAAGAAGTAGTCTTAATGTGGAAAAGGAAGCGATGCAAGGTGTACTCGACTAGTGTCCATAGGAAAACGCCCAAAAACAACAACGAAACAACCTCAGGAATAACGAGGCCCATCCTTGCAGACATTGCAGCGAAATAGCATACAACTGGAATCCAGATGGTTGGAATTACCCACCAAACTGTACGAGTCAAGGCCTATTCAGAAAATTCAATAAAAACTTTGAGATGCATAGTTCAGAATAATAAACACGGTTTGGGGAAGTCTATACAAAGTTAAGCAGCTGAGGTACCTCCATAACATCATTTGCAAAGAACCTAGGACCCTCTCTGCTGACAATAGGCTGGTGAACCCATTCATCATATGCCTCACCCAGATGACCAACCTATAAAATCACAAGAAAATGAGACTACTCCGAGTATTGGAAAATCATAACGAAAAATCCTGACATGCCACAAGTAAATGCAACTAAAAGATCAGAAAGGAGTAAACTTCAGATGAGAAAATCTTAGAATAGCCAAAAGCAAAAAAAAAAAAATTGGACAGGAGATGAGAAGAATCACAGGTGAAATATTGGTAATTTGGCTGGCGCAGCATACAAATCTCAGATCAGCTATGCAAATGCACTCTGGTCATTCAAACTGGGATCAGAAAGGAGTAAACTTTAGATGAGAAAATTTGAGAATAGCCAAAGCCAAAGCTTTTTTGGACAGGAGATGAGAAAGAATCACAGGTGAAATATTGGTAATTTGGCTTGCGCAGCATACAAACCTCAGATCAGCTATGCAATGCACTGTGGTCATTCAAACTGGGATTATAATTTTTACCTGGAAGACAAGTGGTTTATTGAGATCAACTACGAACCCCTGTGCCACCATCTTGAGCCCCTAATCTAGCTCAGCTGGAGAAAGAGGCATTACACAAAAGAGAAGACATACCTAAATGTCAATCCAACAGATCAATCTTGAAAAGGTGCAACAATTAAGTAATTGACCAAATGGGTTCCATGGAAATCGTTTCTTGCTTTTGTGCATTTGGTGTAGAAGATCTATAGATGATGATAACCAACAACCGTCCAATTCACGTCGTTATCAGATATTTCCATGACGGAATGGACTAGAGAGAACAATCAACGAGCATCTACTTTATGCGGGACCCACTGGATGAGGAAAGAAGCAGCCATAATTCAACTCTACAACTACTGACTACATCCACACAAAGCTGAATTTACCATGACGCCGAATTTTGAAAAGTCATCAGAGACAGAAACGAAACAAGATCCTCTACATTCTATCCCATCAAACAGACAAACAAATCGGACAATGTGGCAATAAGAATCGGCTTCCACCCCTAAATTGACATCAAGCGATTTTCTCTCCAGCTCAACGAGAAGCCGGAAAAAAAAAATACACAATGCGTTAGTTCAGCTCGACAAGAATTTTGCGGGAAGAATCTGAGGAACAAGAAGCTACCCAGATCCAGAAACGAGAAAATAAGCAAGACCCAGAACCGAAACTGAGCAAAAGTTGCAGAAGGGGATTGGGGGAGCTAACCTGAGAAGCAAAATGCAGGTCGGATCTGCAGGCTCGCACTCCCGCGGATGCAGCGAGTTTGGCTTTCTGGGGGGGTGTTTATGTTTATCCCTTTGCTGTGTTTTCCCTCAAATTGGGTTCGTTTAGGAAAACAAAGCCACCACAACCACAGTGGCGGAGCTGTGGCGCTCTTCCTTGTGCTTCTCCTCCTCTATTTTGTTCGCTTTCTTTGCCTCCTAATCCTATTTTATCTTTTTTGCGGTGTTTTTTGGGGACTTCTTGTCGCGTTCGGCAACGGAAGGCAGAGAATTGAAGTGACTGAATTAGTGTGGCCAAGAAACAGTTTACAAATACTTAAAATATGTAGGGGAGGGAAATTGGAGAGATCTGAACCGTTCAAAAGTTTTTTGTTTTTTTAATCATTCATGGGCCTCTGTTTAAGAAGAAAAACCCGATTCATCCTCATGTAATAACGGGTGCCAGCCAGAAACTTTTCTCATCCAGCTCCTCCTTGCTAAAAGCAGGGAATGATCAAATGAAATGAATCATAATAATACCGGGGGCTTCTCAGCCGTCCGATTATAAAAATTGTATATGCTTAGTACTGTACAGAGGTAATACTAATTAGGTACTAAAATGTCATAATAAAAATTATAGGTACCAAAATGTAATTTTCCAACGATATTTTTTGTATAAAAATACTGAATTTCTAATCGTCGCCCTAACTATTTGAATTTATCGCCCTAGATTTACACAAACAGACAATTTTGTCCCTGATCACAAAATAACCTAATCCTAAAACTAACCCGGCCGTTAGCGTCGTACCTTTCTCCTCTCCCCCAACAAAGCACCGACCCAGCCGCCGCCGCCGTGTGCTCTCTGCCTGGCGAGAAGAACGCCACCGCAAGAGGAAGGGCAGGTTCATCGCCATCTCCTGTATGTCCGACCTCTGCGCCCACCGAGGAGAGGAGAAGTTTGTCGCGTGCAGGCCTCTGCTTCCGACCGATCCCACACGGCCATCGAGTTGAGAAGACTAAATGTCACCGTTCGCTGCAGTCGTTGAAGAAGGTCGGTCGTCGCCGCTCATTGCCGTCGCCGCTCGCTGTCGTCATTAATTTTATTTTATTTTGTGCATCTCCGACGGTTTGGGTTGAAAATCCATAGCCCGCAGGCTGTAGGCAGGTTTCCCGATGTTAGCTTAGCATTCTTTATCTAGAGTTGTGTCTGATATACAATGAATTGATTGTTGTTCTGATGCTCAATTTGGACTGCGACGGATGCTTAGTTTCTTATGAATCGTTGGATAGATTTTGACTGTGCTACCGTCTGGATGTATGGTCTTTCTAACTCTTACTTTGTCGTGGCTGATTGTGGCTAATCGTTTCAATTCCGTTGCAGGACCGTACGATGCTTACTTTCTCTGTTTCTTCATAACCGAAGGTGTCTGATAAAGAACCATAAAATTAAATCAAGGACAGTTTTGTAAATTCGTATGGCTTAGGGCGATAGAATTTAAAAATTTAGGGCGACGAATAGTAACGCCCTGTAGGTTAAATTACACGTTTGGTCACTTAAATTATACAAATCTTTCATGTTTGTCACCCGAATTACTTTTCTTTCTTCTTCACCACTAACTTTACGAATCGTTTCATCGTTAGTCACCCGCCGTTACACTCCGTTAAGTTTGTCCTACGTGGCAGTCAACTATAAAGTTTGACCGTTAACTAGATGACGTGGAAATTAAAAATAAATTAAAAAATAATTTTATTTTTTCCATCTCATCATTCCACTTACTTTGTCTATATGCTTTATTATATTTATGATTTAATTAAAATTCATTATTAGCGAGAGAATTCCTCCTCCTTCCACGTCATCTGCTTTCCGAGGCGGTGATTGAATGGAGAAGGGAATGGAAGGCAGGGGAGGCGGTGAGGTGAGGTCCCTCCCTGTAAATTGACTGTAAAATAAGAAGAGGGTGGTATCATTGCATATAAATAAATAATAAACGAGATTAATTTTGACAATTAATCACCTGGACTGAGGGTGGGGGAAGTAATGGAGCAATAATTAAGTTGCCCGCTGGTGATGGGTTGAAAATGGGAAGGAATGGGAATGAAATGAAGAAAGCATTTGAAGAGATTCACTGTCTTGCCTTTGCTAACATTTTGAATGGAGGGAGTAAATGGTGGGGGGGAAGGGAATCCTTGTTAATTTGATTTGATTTGGTGGTTAGGCATGAATGAATGAGATTACCCTTTCTTATCTTTGCTTTGCTCGCCTGGACAGAAGAAGAAGAAGAAGAAGAAGAAGAAGATGTTAGAGGCGGTGAGTGGTGGGACTGGAGACAAGAAGTAGGAAGGAAGAGAAGACTGACCCAGCTCTATCTGCTGCTGCCGCCCCCAACTTAATTCCTAATGCTCTGTGGGCAGTGGGTAAAGGGACCATGAATTGTGAAAAGCAAGAGAAATGAAAAATCTGGGTGGGGAGAAAGAAAGAAAGAAAGAAAGAAAGAAAAGAGGTAATGGTTGTTTAATGCAGAAAGCAAGGAAAACCGAAAGAACAGAGCAGGGCAATGTTTAATTTATGATTATTCATCAGATTTGAAAACGTTTTTCCTTTTTATGGCAATGATATTCGGTTTCATAGTGTGCCATTTTATCGTAGTTTTTCAGTTTCTCGGTATGTCCTTATAAATCATACAGTAACCCAACAATCCTTAGATCCAAGGTTTTCTATCTTTAAGGGAAACCTATTACTGCCTCGCCAATGAACGAGCTCCCTCCGGTGTGGCCATTCTGGTGGCTGTTCTTGTGGAGACTGCAACAAAACGATCTGGGATGCGAGGTCGGAGAGCACATACACGTCTTCCTCGCGGGAGGCTGGAGATGTGATTGGTGTGCTTCGTGACGGATATGCTGCGATTGGAAGATGTGGATCTGTCGATCGAGAATCGGAACGTCGGCGACGAAGGACTCTGGGGATATAGATTGAAGCGCGTCGGAGAGGCGGATCTGTGTGGGGAGGAAGAAGGCCGACGACGGAGAGTAAAAGCTCGAGCTCGTGGAAGACGCGAATGTCGATGAGGACGAGGAAGATGAGAGATGACCGGCGGAGTTGTACGACGGGAATCGGCCGCGGGGAGACAGCGACCGGAGCACCGGCCCGCTGGATCTCTTGCCCATGCCCATTTTTTTTTCCAAAGCTTATACACTAGACAAAGACGGCCAGAGAAGGGAGAGGAGGAGGAAGGAGATAGCTGGTGCTCTGGAGGTGTCGGAGCAAAGCTTCACCTGAGTTGTGAAGGAGGAGGAATTCTCTCGCTAATAATTAATTTTAATTAAATCATAAATATATATGATAAAGCATATAGACAAAGTAAGTGGAATGATGAGGTGGAAAAATAAAATTATTTTTTAATTCATTTTAATTTCCACGTCATAGTTAACAGTCAAACTTTATAGTTGACTGCTACGTAGGACAAACTTAACGGAGTGTAACGGCGGGTGACTAACGGTGAAACGATTCGTAAAGTTAGTGGTGACGAAGAAAGAAAAGTAATTCGGGTGGCAAACATGAAAAATTTGTATAATTTGAGTGACCAAACGTGTAATTTAGCCTATTTTTATACAAAAAATATCGCTGGAAAATTACATTTTGGTACCTATAATTTTTATTATGATATTTTAGTACCTAAACTTTTCAAAATTTACATTTTGGTCCAAGCTTTGGAAGTCATTTGAATTCATGGATCAATCCACCAACCCATTGGATCCAATCTATTTGATCCATGGATCCACCAATCCAATCCACCAACCTATGAATCCAATCCATTTGCCACCTCTACTGTTAACAAATGAGCTGAGCTCGAGCCATTTATTAACGAGCCGAGTCGAGTCGAGTTCGAGCTAAGCTTGTTTACTAAATTCTTAGATTGTATTTGATACATTCATTTTGTATGTCTTGTATGGTACATGTGATTGATGTAACGATAAATAAATAATCAAATATTCAACATTAATTAATCTTATATTAAAATTTGTAGGTGTCATATTGTTTAGGTAATAAATTTTAACTAGTTCAAATTATGTTATTTCATACCGAAACAATTTTGTACATAATTTCTATATAGAATTAAAAATAAGGCATATTTTCTTACATGTTCAACATGCTAAACTTCACATGATGTGAGATATATAATTTAACAATCCTATGAATTATGAAAGTCCAAATTAGATCGATTCGTCCATAAGTCGGTGATCAAGTTGGCCCTCAAACCACAATGTTGAGACATCTCGTGAGCTCTAAATGAGTCAACTCACGAGTTGAGCTCAACAAGCCACCAAGTCGAGCTAGCTTCGCGAGCTTAACAAAGCTAAGCTCAAGCTTGGCTCGTTAGTAAAAGAGTCGAGTTTCGAACGAGTTTTTCCCGATTTAAGCCTCGAGTTGCTCGCGAGTAGCTCGACTCATTTAAAGCCTAAATACTATTAGCTAGTTTTTTCGTGCGCCAGAATTTTGGTTAAACAAAATTGATTGTACCTTAATTTATTGAACAATGATTAACAAAACATTGATTACACTTGTCTTAACAAAGTTTAAATAAGGATATTAATTTATATTTTGTGATCTAAGAGACAAATCTACATTAAATTAATCTATATGGAGAATAGGCGAGAGTTTCTATGACTAAATTAGTAAATTTGCAGAGGAAAATGACGAATCTTGATAATATGTTATCTGTTGAGAATTTGGCGAACTCTTAATTTGTCATCTTCATATCTTATTATAGCCATAAAGTCATTAATTCTCACTCCTTATATATGAGCATTTCTTGTCACACTCAAAACTAAGGGCCTAAAACTAGTTATGCAAGGATGCATAACCAAGGGTTATGCACCCTATCATATACTCACATCCACTCGCCTTCTTCTTCTTTTTTTTTTTTTATCTTTGCGTGTTTCTCTCTTTTTCGTCATTTCTAATCCTTTCTCATCAAAGGACAACTGCAACATCCCTCATCCGCCAATCACCACCAAGATGCCTTCCCATACAACATCGTCGCAGATCCGCCGGAGTTCGACCACCTAGCCGTCCTCCTCCTTCTTGCTCTTTCTTCTTTAGTTTTGTGTTAGACAGAATAGAGGGTTGAGATTTGACTCACTAAAATACAACATTTTCATAATGGCCAAGTATAATCACTACGAGCGACTACAATAAAGTGGGTTTTGTTTAGTTTGTCAACCTAGGTCCTAGGTGTACTGGTTACTCTGTGAATGTTATATTATCTAGCTATCATATTGTAGTGAAGAGTTTAATCTAAGGAAACAAGAGAGCAGGAAAGCAAATGATTGTTCTCAAAGTAAGAAGGCTCACTCAGGTATAAGCCCCCTAGGTTGTAGTTAGGGCAAGTTGTAATTCACTTAATTCAAATTGATTGATACTTAAAGTTCTTAACCAGTTTGGAGTATCGACTAATCTTAGGGCATTGTTTGGAAGTTAGTATTTTTTTTTAAAAATTGATGTATTTAACCAATGTATGTATTATAAATAGATGCATTGTTTCAATGTATTAATTTGAAAAATACATTAATTGGAGGGGTTAATTGCATGGTTGGTCACTGAGATTACAAAAACGTTCAAGTTTGGTCACTCAAAATATTTAAATCCATTGGTGATACTTCAGTTTATTGAAAGCGTTCACGTTTGGTCACTCTCCGTCCAAGTCCGTTAACTTTTGCTTACGTGGCAGTCAACTCTAAAAGTTGACCGTTAAATGTGTTACGTGGCAATTAAATAAATAATTAAATAAATAAAATTTAATTTTTTAAAATTTCCACCTCATTTCTAACTATTGAAGAGATAAAATAAAATTAAAAATTATTAAAGTTAAAAACGAACGGGGAATCCTCCCTCTGTTCTCCGCCGCCGCATTCTTGGCCACAAATGGGGTGGTTGCTGCCGTTTTCGCTAAGATAAACCCTCCGAAGTCGAGGCCGAAGTCGGAATTGGACAATGCTCTCGATCCTCGCGATCGAAAGCCACGGGAAGTTACTTCTCTCGCTACATGTCCTCCTCTTCTTGTTCGTTTTCGGCCGCCAAACGCTGCCCATCGCCGTTGATTTCGCGTCCCAAGACCTCGACAACGCCGTCCGTTCCTGCCACGATTAAGCCTCGCAATCCGTCGAGAGGAAGAGGTACGGCGAAATGACGAATGCGCAAAAGCTGTTGATAACTTCGACGAGGAGCTTATCTGTGTCGTTTCAGGGAGAGTCGTTCGTGCTCCAGGTGAGTAAAACGAAGCCGGCTCCATCACCGGTCAGCGCGAGGAAAGGGACGCCGGAACAACTCTGTAGATATTCCAACGAACTAGGGAGGAATGCTTGTAATCACGATGATGAGTCGCTTGCTGATGGCATCATTAAGGAGATAAAGCAGTACAAAGGACAACAGGTGAAAAAGGGTGCCCCTGTAAACCAAGCTCAAACTGAAAGAACAACACCGAATTAACGTGGTATCCTCAACGAGTATCACTCAAACTAATCCACGGAGAGAACCAACCTCTCAGAGTCAATCGTATAAGCTTATGGAATTGAGTTCTTGAGTACAGCAGAGGCGGCTGTCAACACATATATACCTAGCCGCCCTAATCCAACTAAGGCTCTAAACGTAATTAAGCAAACTGCTACATAATTACATATTGCTACACAAACTTCTAACTTCTAACATCCTCCCTCAAATTGATGGTTCTTACGCAACATCAATTTGTATGCTAGAAACCAATGACGTGATGTAGCAACAGCCTTAGTCAGGAGATCAGCAGTCTGATTTTCAGAAGTGATGTATGATAATGCAAGACGCCCTTCCTCAACCAGCTGACGAATGTAGTGAACATGAACTTCAATATGCTTCGTACGATCATGGAGAACTGGATTGGTGGCAATCTTAATAGCACTGGTATTATCTGCATAAAGACGCATAGGAGACGGACAAACCAGTCCAAGCTCAAAAAGCAGGCGATGAAGCCAGACGAGTTCAGACGTGACTTCAGACATTGATCTGTATTCTGCCTCCGTCGATGATTTAGACACCCGTTCCTGCTTTTTGCACCGCCAAGAGATGAAAGATGATCCAATTTTCACACACCAACCGGAAGTAGATCTGCGGGTATCCAAGCAGCCAGCAAAATCAGCATCGGCATATGCTTCAAGCACCGATCTCCTTCAGCAGGATAGAATAGTCCCACATCCTGCGTACCCCATAGGTAACGCAGTATGCGCATAACAGCAACTCGGCGAGAAGAACGAGGAGCAGCCATGAATTGACTCACTACCTGTACAGCATAAGCAATATCCGGACGCGTGTGAGTCAAGTATATGAGGGTTCCTACTATACTGCGATATAGTGAACCATCATCCAACAGATCCCCATCATCATTGCAGAGCTTCATATTTTGTTCCATAGGTGTGGCACACGGCTGGCAAGTGTCCATCTGAGCTGTCTCCAGTAAATCGACAATATATTTTTGTTGTGAAATGAACATACCCGCCTGAGAGCGATGAACTTCTAAGCCCAGAAAATACGACAAGTCACCAAGTTCCTTCAGATTAAAAGCATCTCGAAGAACCTGTGTAAGAGACTGAATTCCAAGAGTATCATCCCCACTAATGACCATGTCATCAACATAAATTAACAGCACAGTCAAACCGTGAGACGTCTGACGAAGAAACAAAGATGGATCACTGTCGCTCTGCTTCAAACCAGCCTGCAGAATAGTGTTATGGAATTTTTCAAACCATGCACGTGGAGCCTGTTTTAACCCATAAAGTGACCTACGCAAAAGACAGACCTTAGACTTATCACCATTGTTGTAGCCAGGAGGACACTCCATATAAATGGTCTCTTTTAAGTCACCATGCAAGAAGGCATTTTTAACGTTCAACTGCTTCAACTCCCAGCCCTTCATGGCTGCAACTGCAAGAAGTGTCCGAACGGTCTGCATTTTTGCGACCGGGGCGAAAGTTTCACTATAATCAATGCCGAACTCCTGTCTGAAACCCTGAGCTACAACTCGTGCCTTAAACCGCTCAATTGACCCATCCAGGTGCATTTTGATAGCATACACCCATTTTGATCCAATAACCGGATGATCTTTTGGCCTAGGCACCACATCCCAATTATGATTTGCTTCCAGAGCTTGTGTTTCAACTGCCATTGCTGCATCCCACTGAGCATGACCGTGAGCTTGTTTGTAAGTAGCAGGAACAGGAATCAGAGTTGTGGAGAAAGCCACAAAATCGGACATGGGAGGCGGAGGTTGCCCCTTGGTGGCACGTAAGGAGCGACGAAGAGGAATGGGTTCAGCAAGGGTCACCAGAGCCCTTCATGGCTGCAACTGCAAGAAGTGTCCGAACGGTCTGCATTTTTGCAACCGGGGCGAAAGTTTCACTATAATCAATGCCGAACTCCTGTCTGAAACCCTGAGCTACAACTCGTGCCTTAAACCGCTCAATTGACCCATCCAGGTGCATTTTGATAGCATACACCCATTTTGATCCAATAACCGGATGATCTTTTGGCCTAGGCACCACATCCCAATTATGATTTGCTTCCAGAGCTTGTGTTTCAACTGCCATTGCTGCATCCCATTGAGCATGACCGTGAGCTTGTTTGTAAGTAGCAGGAACAGGAATCGGAGTTGTGGAGAAAGCCACAAAATCGGACATGGGAGGCGGAGGTTGCCCCTTGGTGGCACGTAAGGAGCGACGAAGAGGAATGGGTTCAGCAAGGGTCACCAGAGAGGGAGAGTCTGTGGTGGCCAAAGAGGATGAAGGGGAGGAATCAGAGGAGGCTGAGGATCCTGTGCTAGAGTAGCTCGACGAGGGAGTGTGAGGAGGAGCTGGTGACGATGAGGATGAATCAGAAGAGGAGAGGGAAAGCCCGATGTCCATCGACATAGACCCTCTCTCGGAATCTGAAGGGCCCTCATCAGGAGGAGCAGGAGGCGGATCAAAGAAAGCTAATTGCGGCTGAAGAAAGTCCAAATCCTGACGGTTGAGTGTATCCTGAACAGGGTAATATGATAGATGCTCCAAAAATGCCACATGATAGGATATTCTAATCCTCCTGTTTACCACATCATAGCAAACATATCCTTTGTGTTTGTCACTGTATCCCACAAAGACACACTTGATAGCTTTGGGAGCAAGCTTATGACGCTCCCGTCTAGGGAGAAGTACATAGCAAATGCAGCCAAACACTCGAAGTGACGCATAATCTGGCTGACGCGAATAGAGAAGCTCATATGGACTGCGATGAGAAAGGACCGGAGTAGGTTGACGATTTATCAGATATACAATCGTATGAACCGCCTCAACCCAAAAACCAGAAGGGATACTGGACTGGAAAAGAATTGCCGGAGTCAACTCTAAAACATGTCGATGTTTACGCTCCACCAGACCATTCTGCTGCGAAACGCCAGGACATGACTGCTGCGGTAAAATTCCATGGTCTTTAAAGACCTCCTGTAGCGGTCCAGACGAGAATTCCCCACATGGATCAGAGCGAAGAACTTTGATCACTTTCCCAAACTGTGTCCGGATCATTTGAATAAACTCCTTAGCCACAGCAAGCAAGTCTGACTTCTGACGAAGAAAGTAAACCTAGGCAAAGCGCGTCGCATAATCGATAAACAAAGCAAAATATCGAAATCCCATGCGAGAGTTAACAGGAGAGGGCCCCCAAAGATCTGTGTGAACTAAGTCAAATGGATCTGAATAAACTGTAGTACTAGAACTGAAAGATTGTTGAGATAACTTAGCTTCCAAACAATGAGTGCAAGTACTGTCTGAATCAGAAACAAAAGTACTAGATAACAACTTATTCTTAAACATCTCAATCAATCTCGCAGAATGGGGATGACCCAAACGACGATGCCACAAATCCCAGTTTGATAACTTAACAGATTAAACAACAGAAGTAGAAGAAATGCCCTCCAGATCTCGATCCACCCTGGCTGGCTCCTTCTCCACACCCGCACGCACACCCACGTCACCATTCAATCCATCATAGGCATCGAGAGTGTACACACGCCCCCGTCTAGTCCCTTGGCCTATCTCCTTCCCCGTTCTCCTGTCCTGCATGACGCAACCAGTAGAATCAAAGATAATACGACACCCATTCTCTGCTAACTGACCGACAGAGACAAGATTAGGCACTAAACGAGGCACATAAAGGGTGTCCGGAAGAGATAAACCAGGACCACAAGCAACTCCAATGCCTTGTGCTGGTAACCGAGTACCCTCAGCAACCTGTAATTGTATAGAACTAGAAGGCCGAAGTTGACTAAAGCAAGGTCGAGAACTGGTCATATGATTAAAAGCTGCATAGTCAAAGTGCCAAGTGGGAGAAGGGTGAGATGGCATACCCGCAGTAAAAACAGATCCTAATGCCGAGGGGAGAGCATCCCGAACAACCTCTTGAAGCATCTGGCGAATAGCATCATGAGTAAGAGGTAGCGCATTTGACTGAATAGGAGCAGCCGCATAGACCGGACATGTAGTCGGACCTTTTGAAGTAGAGCCCGAAGAAGGATGTGCACGCCCTCGTTTAGCCAGGATAGGACACGCACCAATCTTATGGCCAGCTGCCTTGTAGTAGTTGCAAGCATTCCTCTTCGGATAATGAAGCTGAACATGGCTCGGTTCTTTGCAATAATAACAAATAACCTCACCACTAGTGGTACGCTGAAAACGAGGATGCGCAGAACCAACAGCAAAGGCAGAAGCATCAAGGGAGGCCAAAGAGGCCTTACCAGCCGCAAACGCAGTAGGAGAGGAATCCGCTGACTGGAAATCTATCTTAGCCTGACTACGCAACCGAGATTCTTCGCGAACAAGTTCACCTCGGACATAATCCACCTTAGTAACATTGCGATGAAGAAGAGAAGCACGAATACCCTCATACTCTGGACGAAGCTTCATGAGAAAATGCATGAGACGAGAGCTGGAGCGCTCACGAAGCACCTCAGCCGAGGCTGCAGAGGAGACCAAGGATGTAGTGAGCATGTCATGCTCAGTCCACAATGTGACAGCAGCCTGATAATACGCGCGAACATCTAAATCACCTTGATGCAACTTGGCTATATCAAGTTCAAGCTCGAACTTGCGAGACGCAGTGGTCTGAGAGTGCAGGTCGCCAAGATGACGCCACATCGCGTGAGCAGTGGTGAACCCACGCAAGCTGAGAGCGATAGGAGGCTCAACCGACCCAAGAATAGCCGCCATAACCTGAGCATTCTGGACAACCCAGTCATTCTTCTCTTTGTCCGACGCAGTGGCAGCGGGTTCAGGAAGAGACCCATCGAGAATGGGAAGAAGACGGCGCCCCTAAACGACCACACGAAATTGAAATTCCCAAAGAGAATAATTTTTCCCATCAAAGCGAACTGAAATTCCATCGAGACGAGAAGCATCCATAATTGCAGCCGACAAGAAGAGATGCACAACCCA